TGGCTTGTACCAAGTGTCATAAAAATTTCACAAGTCGATGCTTTTCTACTTGCAATTAATTATTTAAAGAGTGGGTTCTTGAGTTTGATGATTACTTGCTTTAGGTACTAACCCTTGCATTGTTTTTCTAGACATATTAGCATTGAAATGCAAATGATTTTGCAGGGTGGCATAAAGAAAAGCAGAATAATATTAAGAATTGCAAAGCTATCATTGGTTTGACATTGAAATATACACTTGCAGTTTGATTGTTTAAAAGGCTGTTAAAGAAAAAATTCCACAGTCTTTTTATATTTCCTGATGAATTTTCCCTGGTTTTTATTTATAAGAATGAAATTTAAGACTACTTATTGCAAAAAAAAAAAAAATTCCCCCGGATACAGTAATTGATTTATCTGAATGCATACCCTTAAAAGCCAAACACAATGCAATTAGTATTTCAAGGAGAACCTGAATCTTCAGTTCTTAGTGTGATAAATATGAAAAATGATTGAAGATCAAGAAGCTAAAAAGGGAAAAGCAAATTCTTATGTAGTTTTTTTCACTGTTCCATCTAAATATAAAAAGGAATATTCAAAGATGACATGGATATAATAGAATGATATAACACATTTATCTCACAAGATACAAATCTTGTGAGAAGTCATTATTAAAATAAAATTCATCACATACATTTTCTACTTTGTTTTAGGCTAAATATACTTTACATTATTTGTAATTTATTATCATGTAAAAATTGTTTCTAGTTAAAATACACATACTGAAAATAATCTCAGCATCAATTAGATTAATAAAGATTACTGTACTATTTATAGTAGATTATTTCAACATTGTTCTAAGCCAATGCTCACCAAAAGAACTTACTGGGATGATGACAATGTTCTCTAGTTGTCCCAAATAGTAGCTACCAGCCACATTTAGCTTCTGAGCATTTGGAATGTGGCTAGTGTATCTGAGGAACTACATTTTAGATTTTATTTAATTTTATTGACAGATGGCATCTAATTAAACTGAAGAGCTTCTGCACAGCAAAAGAAACTATCAACAGAGTAAATAAACAACCTGCAATCAAGAAAATTTTTATAAATTGTGCATCTGACAAAGGTCTAATATCCAGAATCTATAAGGAACTTAATCACATTTACAAGAGAGAGACACATTTACAAAACAGAATCACATTTACAAGAGAAAAACAACTCCATTAAAAAGTAGGCGAAGGACATGGATAGACTCTTCTAAAAAGAAGATATATAAGCAGTCAACAAGCATATGAAAAAAAAAGCTCAATATTACTGATCATTAGAGAGATGCAAATCAAAACCACAATAAGATACCATCTCACAATAATCAGAATGGCTATTATCAAAAAGTCAAAAAAGAATTAGCAAGATCTTGACTAGGTTGCAGAGAAAAAGGAATGCTTATACACTCTTGATAGGAGTGTAAATTAGTTCAACCATTGTACAAAGCAGTGTGTTGATTCCTCAAAAAACTAAAAACAGAACTACCATTTGACCCAGAAATCCCATTACAGGAGATATATCCAAAGGAATATAAGTTGTTCTGTCATGAAGACACATATATGCATATGTTCATTGCAGCACTTTTCACAATAGCAAAGACCCTAAAGGCCCACCAACAGTAGACTGGATAAAGAAAATGTGGTACATATATACCATGAAATAGTGTGCAGCCCTAAAAAAGAATGAGAGCATGTCCTTTGAAGGAACATGGGCGAAGCTGGAAACCATTAACCTTAGCAAACTAACACAGGAGCAAAGAACAGAATAAGGAGAAGGGTATGCATATTCTCACTTACAAGTGGGAGCCAAATGATGAGAACACGTGGAGGAGAACAGCAGACACTGGGGCCTATAGAAGAGTAGAGGGTCGGGGGAGGGAAAGAATCAAGAGAAATGACTAATGAGTTCTAGGCTTAATATCTGGGTGACAACATAATTTGTACAACAAACTCCTGTGACACAAGTTTACCTACATAACAACACTGCATGTGTACTCTCAAACATAAAATAAGTTTAAATATATACACATAATTTTAATTAATTTAAATTTCAAATTAAATAGCCATATGTGGCTAGTTTCTACAGTAGTATACAGTATGCTATTTATATTCACATGAGTTAAAATACATAAAATACTTAGAACAACATTTGGCAGATAATCCATACAAGTATTGCTTGTTTTTTGTTGCTATTGTCATATGATTTTATGTTTAAAGTATGTTTTGGAAAATAGATTATATAACTGTGGGGACTGCACAATGCTGGTTTTCCCTGCCTCTACCTTTGTCTATTTTTACAATCACAATGGTTCCAATTTGGACTTATGCCAAAAAGTTTTCCAAAGTGTTTGCAGTTTACCCATCTGACAAAGGACTGGCTGATATCCAGAATATACAAAGAACTCAAACAGATTTACAGGAAAAAAACAAACAAGCCCATTCAAAAATGGGCAAAGGATATGAATAGACACTTTACAAAAGAAGACATATATGAGGCCAACAAACATATGAGAAAATGCTCATCATCACTGGTCATTAGAGAGATGCAAATCAAAACCACATTGAGATACCATCTCACGCCAGTTAGAATGGTGATCATTAAAAAATCTGGAGACAACAGATGCTGGAGAGGATGTGGAGAAATAGGAACACTTTTACACTGCTGGTGGGAGTGTAAATTAGTTCAACCATTGTGGAAGACAGTGTGGCGATTCCTCAAGGCCTTAGAAATAGAAATTCCATTTGACCCAGAAATCCCATTACTATACCCAAAGGACTATAAGTCGTTCTACTACAAGGACACATGCACACGAATGTTTATTGCAGCACTGTTTAAAATAGCAAAGACTTGGAACCAACCCAAATGCCCATCGATGACAGACTGGATTGGGAAAATGTGGCACATATACACCATGGAATATTATGCAGCAATCAAAAATGACGAGTTCGTGTCCTTTGTAGGGACATGGTTGAATCTGGAGAACATCATTCTCAGCAAACTGACACAAGAACAGAAAATAAAATACCGCATACTCTCACTCATAGGCGGGTGATGAAAAATGAGAACACATGGACACAGGGAAGGGAGTACTACACACTGGGGTCTATTGGGGGGAATAGGGGAGGGACAGTGGGTGGGGGGAGCTGGGGAGGGATAGCCTGGGGAGATGCCAAATGTGGGTGAAGGGGAGGAAGGCAGCAAAACACACTGCCATGTGTGTACCTATGCAACTATTTTGCATGTTCTGCACATGTACCCCAAAACCTAAAATGCAATAAAAAGAAACAAACAAACAAACAAATAAATAAATAAAAGTACAACATGAAAAAAGAAAAATCAGTTGTATTCTTTTAGTTTCACAGAATTTCAATCTGTATTTATAAGATCTTACTAAATGCTTGCTTTAAACAGTTTAGGGTGCATATAACTTGCACCTGAGGAAAATTTAAATACCCTTAACATTGCTCTCCTTTGGGTATATATGTGGTAATGGGATTGCTGGGTCAAATGGTATTTCTGGTTCTAAATCCTTGAGAAATTGCCACACTGCCTTCCACAATGGTTGGACTAATTTACACTCCCACCAACAATGTAAAAGCATACCTATTTCTCCATATCCTCTCCAGCATCTCTTTCCTGACTTTTTAATGATTGCTATTCTGACTGGTGTGAGATGGTATCTCATTGTGGTTTTGATTTGCATTTTTCTAATGGCCAGTGATGATAAGCTTTTTTTCATATGTTTGTTGGTCGCATAAATGTCTACTTTTGAGAAGTGTTTGTTCATATCTTATCTTTTGCCCACTTTTTGATGAGGTTGTTTTTTTCTTGTAAACTTGTTTAAGTTCCTTGTAGATTCTTGTTTAAGTTCCTTTGTCAGATGGATAGATTGCAAAATTTTTCTCCCATTCTATAGGTTGACTGTTCATTCTGATGCTAGTTTCTTTTGCTGTGCAGAAGCTCTTTAGTTTAATTAGATCCCATTTTTCAATTTTGGCTTGTGTTGCCATTGCTTTTGGTCGTTTAGTCATGAAGTCTTTGCCCATGCCTATGTTTTCTTCTAAGGTTTTTATGGTTTTAGGTCTTACATTTAAGTCTAATCCATCCGGAGTTAATGTTTGTGTAAGTTGTAAGGAAGGAATCCAGTTTCAGCTTTCTGCATATGGCTAACCAGTTTTTCCAAACCATTTATTAAATAGGGAATCCTTTCCCTATCGCTTGTTTTTGTCAGGTTTGTCAAAGATCAGATGGTTGTAGACGTGTGGCATGATTTCTGAGGCCTCTGTTTTGTTCCATTGATCTATATCTCTGTTCTGGTACCAGTACCATGCTGTTTTGATTACTGCAGCCTTATTTGAAGTGAGGTAGCGTGTTGCCTCCAGCTTTGTTTGTTTGTTTGTTTGCTTGTTTTTGTTTAGGATAGTTTGCCTCTAAACTCTATTGCAAACACAATGCAGCTGGTGGAGACCTCATCTAACCTGTAGGGGCGCTGGCCCGAGAGCACAGGCTGGGAAGTGAAAGTCTTCTACTAACAAGTTGTTTACTGAGGTCACGGAAGTGTTACCACGACGACCATCCTTAGAGGGGCTCCATCTCCTAATTTCCTTGTTTGTGGGGTAAAGATTGCCACATGATTCAAGACATTCGCCTGAAGAGTTTTAAGTTTCTTGTAGCTACAAGCTTCTTAACTTACAGGTTTAGCATTATTTTTATGTGTATAGAAAAGTATCGATTATTTGAAAAACACAAGAATAGGAGGATAATTTATCAGATTTTTTTACAAAGTGCTGAAACAACTTATGATTATGTTGCCTTGGATTTCTGTGGTTTGTCCATTTCTGCCCATGTGTATAACAAGTCAGTTCACCTGTGTTTCTAAGCTATAGGGCAAAGAAATAATATTTTAAAACTTCTTTATATTCAGAATGTGAAATGAATTGATCCATCATTTAAAAAAATCAAAGAAAAACAAGGAACTAGATTAAGTTGAAATTTTATTAAAATATTCAGATGTTCAATGCAGACAAGGTACTGATTCTGATTCCATATAAACATTCTTTATATTCTGTAAGAAAATGTATTCAAAAATGTTATAATTACACTGGGATTTTGAATCCTTTCTCTTTTTACCATTGTAGAAGATGAGTTTCTATCAGATTGGGGAGACTGCCATTTTTTGGAAACTACACATGTCGGATCAGACTTGGTCTCGATGTTGCTGTTTGAGAGGATCTGCCATGGTCTCCAGGCCTCCTGGTGTTCTGTCATATAATGGATTTGAGAAGGAATAGACAGAATTCTGAAGAAGAAAATCATATTTGAAAGGGTAGAATTTTAGCCATTAAAATAAGAAATCTCTTTAAGGATTATGCAGAATGTAGCAAAGGTCTTAATGAATTTTCACTGGAATAATAACTAGAACATCCCTGATTCTTCCTCTAGAACCTACCACCTGCAATGCTTGATTTTCTGACACAAGCGAAGATTCCATGTATCCTGGGGTCCTCTGGAATTAGGCACCACTACCTCAGCTCTTGTGGGGTAGGGAAGTACAATGACCAATATTTTGACTACTTCTTTTGCTGATTTCACTAAGCTTTCTGTATTGAATATAGTTAAGTTAGACAAAATAAAGCGAAACCAATAGCTCTAAGTATATAGAGCCACTTTATGTACATTTAAATGCCATTTCATTTGTTTTTTGTAAACTACATAATTATGGTTTAAACTATATATTTATAGTTTACAGGAAAATCTAAAATGTGTGAAATTCTATCGGACGAGCAACCTGGTTTCTTCAACAAATAATGTGCAAGAAAAATAAGAGACAGAGAATAGAAACTAGAGATGAAAAGAGCTTTAAGACACCTATCTACACATTTGGATGCATATACCTTCTAAAATTTCTGATTTTTAAAATATAGCTACAACAACAAAACCCCAATATAAAACATTTTACTTATTTATGAGGCGTTTGAAGTAGGTTGAACACTGAAAATCTGATGTCATTGAGACATTACTGTTAAATGTTTAGGTATGATCCTGCCATTATATTTTTAAAACTCCTTATCCTTTAAAAACACAACTGAAGTCTTTACAGTTGAAATTAAATGGTATCTGGGATTTGCTTGAAAACCTTCTTGAGGGTGAGGAAATGGAAGCAGGAGAGATGAAACAATAATAAATTTGGGTTGATAATCTTTGAAGCTGGCTGATGGGTACGTGGCAGTTGCTTCCAATGAATATTGCTATAAATGTTGGCATCAATTGCCAATGAACGTTGCCATGAATACTGTCTCCATTTCTGTATCAGAATGTGAATTTTCTCCAAGAGTTTAAAAATAGAGTTTAAGGCCAGGCACAATGGCTCATGCCTGTAATCCTAGCACTTTAAGAGGCCAATGCAGGGGGGTCCCAAGGTGAAGAGATCGAGACTTTCCTGGCCAACATGGTGCAACCTCATTTCTATTAAAAATGCAAGGCCAGGTGCTGTGGCTGACACCTATAATCCCAGCACTTTGGGAGGCGGGTGGATAATGAGGTCAACAGATCGAGACCATCCTGGTCAACATGGTGAAACCCCGTCTCTACTAAAAATACAAAAATTAGCCGGGCATGGTGGTGCACGCCTGTAGTCCCAGCTACTCGGGAGGCTGAGGCAGGAGTATTGCTTGAATCCAGAAGGTGGAGGTTGTGGTGAGCCGAGATCGTGCCATTGCACTCCAGTCTGGGTAACAACAGCAAAACTCTGTCTCAAAAAAAAATGCAAAAATTAGCTGGAGGTGGTGGCATGCGCCTGTAGTCCCAGTTACTCAGGAGACTGAGGCAGGAGAATCGCTTGAACCTAGGAGGTGGAGGTTGTAGTGAGCCAAGATGATGCCACTGTACTCCAGACTGGCAACAGAGAGAGACTCTGTCTCAAAAAAAAAAAAAAAAAAAACCCAGAGTTTAAGAGATAGACCTAGAGAAGTCTATCTTTCTGATGACAGGGAAGGTAGACCTAGTTTAATTAATACAAAGTCATTTGTTTCTGAAACAATAGAAATCAAAATAGCAACAAAGGTCTGGAGATGTGCCAGGATTTCTTCTTTAGACATTCATAATGAAAGGAAAACAGAAAACGAAAAAGGATTTTTTCTTTCATCAAAATAGAAAATAAACATAAATCATTTCCGAGGCACTCTAAAGTCATCCATTAGGCCATCATACTCATACACAGTGGAAACCATGTTAAAAACACATTGAAAGGTGGGTCTTTGATGGAGACCCCTTTCTCTGTTTGCTGAGAAGTATGAATCTGAATGCAACAGAATCCATCTCAGTAGAAAGTAAAGAATGTATAACACCTTCTGAGCCACTTTTCAATTACTACAAGTTTGTGAGGCATTAATATAAAATATACAAAATTTAAAAGACTTCATTTTAATTTCTAATCTCATGTGTATCTTTCAGATAGAAAAAGTTAAACTAAGCTGAGGGAAAAAAGTATTAAATGTTCTGGCCAGGCACAGTGGCTCAAGCCTGTAATCCCAGCACTTTGGGAGGCCGAGGTAGGCAGATCACCTAAGGTTAGGAGTTTGAGATCAGCTTGGCCAACAAGGTAAAACCCTGTCTCTACTAAAAATACAAAAACTAACTGGGCATGGTGGCATGCACCTGTAATCCAAGCTACTCAGGAGCCTGAGGCAGGAGAATCGCTTGAACCCAGGAGGTGGAGGTTGCAATGAGTTGAGGTCACACCATTGCATTCCAGCCTGGGCAACAAGAACGAAACACCGTCTTAAAAATAAATAAATGATAAATTTTCTTTCTCTAGTAAAAATGAAAATATATATTATACCATCTTATTTTGTCAAAAAGATACATATTTGTTTTCTTAAATATGTATCTATTTTTTATCCATTAAGTAGGGCTACCTTTTCATTTTTACTCTGATTTACTTGTCGACTCATCTAAATTCATTTCCTCTGTGCTTTAGGAAATAGTACACTTTCTGTCTTCATTCCTACCAAAACAATACGAAAAGTGTGTATCAACTCACTGAATAAAACACAAAAATGAAAAAGCCGAGGGTTTTGTTAGGCTTTAACCACAGCACTTGAGGCTCTTTAACTACTAGAAACCACCTAAACCAATAACCTTGCTACTCATTTTCATAACTAAGAACAGGATAAAGAACTATGACTTATTTTCATAGAAAAAGAGAATAATTAAAACGTTAGCTTTCTATAATACTCACTTTATAAAGAGTAAATTCGATATATCTCTAAAACTAGATGTAATAAAACTTTTATACTTCAGAAGTGGTGTGTCATAACTAACTTACTTTATATCCAGATGGATTCTCATAATACCTACTTAAGAAAGGAATGAAAAAGAAAGAAAGGAATGAGGTTTTCATCAAAGAGTACAAAGTCCGCGGTGGCTCACGCCTGTAATCCCAGCACTTCGGGAGGCCGAGGTGGGTGGATCGTGAGGTCAAGGGTTTGAGACCATCCTGGTCAACATGAACCCCGTCTCTACTATAAATACAAAAAATTAGCTGGGCATGGTGGTGCGTGCCTGTAATCCCAGCTACTCAGGAGGCTGAGGCAGGAGAATTGCCTGAACCCAGAAGGCGGAGGTTGTGGTGAGCCGAGATCACGCCATTGCACTCCAGCCTGGGTAACAAGAGCAAAACTCCATCTCAAAAAAAAAAGTACAAAATCTTTGTGCAGGATGAATAAGTTGTGGAGATCTAATGTATAGCATGTGACTATAGCTAATAATACTGTGTGATATACTTGAAATTTGCTAAGAGAGATCCTAAATGTTTTCACCACACACACGCACACACACACACACACACTCACACACACACACACAGAGTTAACTATGTGAGATGATATTTTAATAGTTGGGTTGTAGTAATCACTTCACAATACATACCTATATTAAAACTTAATGTATACCTCAACCTATAAAACTTTTATTTGTCAACTATACCTAAAAATAACTTAAAAACTAAAAACCCGAAATAAAGGAACAAGAAAGGTTTTCCTGCCATTTTCTCTTTGCTTATACAAATAAAGGGTAGCCCCAAAAATGGCCAAGGAAGATTTGATACAATCTCATTTTTTTTTCTTCTAAGTTACCAGGTAACTTCCTTTTTCTCTTCTAAATTATCAGGTAATGGCCCTCACTACTCACTTATATAAATAAAGAGTAGCCCCAGAGAGGGCCAAGGAAGATGTAATACATTCTCATTTTTTTTTCTCTTCTAAGTTATTAGGTAATGGCTCTCACTACTCACCCTAATTTTTTTTATACTTTAAGTTCTGGGGTACATGTGCAGAAAGTGCAAGTTTGTTACATAGGTCTACATGTGCCATGGTGGTTTGCTGCATCCATCAATCCGTCATCTACATAAGGTATTTCTCGTAATGCTGTCCCTTTTTAGACCCCAAACCCTGACAGGCCCCTGTACTCACTCTAAATTTAAACAGAATATAGAATGTTATCCTTTCTTTTGTTTTTGAAAATAAAACATGAAAGACATTGAATGAATAGTTACTGTAAGTAGCTGACTAATACTCTGTGGGTTAACCTGATATTTTCCAGATTTGTCAGTTCTTTTGGAGTATAAACAGTGACCACAATGCCACTGAACAGTGAATTGATCTTACAAGCAGATTGAAACTGTCCTGAAATGGAAAATTCTCACAGGACATTTATAGAGACCAAAACTCCTTTCCACCCCCAACTGAAATAACTCCACTAAAACATTTATTTATGATGTAGAAACATGTTCAAACAACACTGGTTCATGTGTGTGTGTGTGTGTGTGTGTGTGTGTGTATGCTTGTACATTTGTGTGAAATGATAGAGTTCACCCTTGTCACTTACCTCTGTTTTCTCTGGGTCACTCCAGTTCCCGTAAACTGGATTGACAAAGGCACAGTTACCACTTCCCTCTGTTTTCCTTAAAGCACATAGGGCCATCAAGAAAAAAAAAAAGTATTGAAATTTACCATAGTACATTTTCAGGGTGTTTGTTAGAAACTTTTGAGAGACACGTTTTCTAGCCAGCACACTTATTTTCATGAATGTATTACCATAAGTAAAGTTTGTTTGTTTTTAATTTTTTTTTTTTTGCCAGACACCAAGGCGACCACATTCATGAAAGCAAATGTAATTTGAACTCTTGAGTATTTAGATCCAAATAAACCCAGGCAAATAAAAGAAATGGCAAAAGTTAGTCTTAATGTTGATTTCTGAAAATATTACCCAGTGCAAAGCGTCCAACATTAGAAAGAACAATGTCATATAAAGCTGTACAAGTGATAAAGAAAGGCCATCTTGAAGTCCCTGACACTCCAAAGTTCCAAACCACTACATCTTGAGGACTGTTTTCCATGACAGTATCTGTCATAAAGATCTGTAGCACATGAGTCATAGTCTTTAACATTTTAATCAGCAAGTTTAGATATAGGAATTTTGAAAAATTCTTTATGGCAGTGTTTCCTTTCATGAATATCAAACAGTAAGTCCCTGGTAATATCACATACTGGACTAGATGTGCATAATTCACTATCATTAACTGGACTCTATATATTTTCTTTTTATGTTTCACTTAAGAATTAACACACTTATCAGAAGACATGCAGCCCTGGGCTACTTGGTGACAACTGATAAAGAAAAAGTGTCCATCATAGGAACAACAACAACAGAAAAACCAAAACTTAAGTAAGTACAGACACACACGTACACACGAAAGGATCATATACACGCATGTGTACACACACACACACATCCACACACAAGAATGGAAGACCAATTCCAGGATGACTGTTTTAAGGACTTAATAACAAAAGTAACAATTATATAACATATAATTGTACAATACAATGTATATGTATAAGGTATACATTTTTGTCTAATCAGCCTATAGTGAAAATTAATGTTTGTCAGTAATATACCTCTAAGTCCCAAAATAAAATATAGTAAAAAAGCATCTCTTACTGATTTGATTTCTGAAAAGAAACTGCCAGAGGTATAGCTGCCTGTTGTCATCTACCAAACCACATGGTCCTTTTTGAAGAAACTACAGCATTAGTGAGCCTAACACTCTAATCTGGCTAATTATATTTGGCTGGTAATACAATTTTCCTGTGGATTCACTGTCTTTTTTTATATACAGATATAAGGTTTAATGTTTAGCTTTGGCATGTACTAGGTATGTAGCCTTGGGTAAGTCACTTATCCTATATGAGTCTGATCTCCCCAGTTTTTAAGAAATTGGCTTAAATATACAATAGATTAAATATTTCATCTTCATGAAGGCTACATTTTGCTTATTGATGAACAGGGCCACATGCATCTATTTTGTGGGTTATTATTGAAGAAAGTCTGCACTGAGTCAAGAAATATTTTAATTCTGTAACCACCAACTGAATGCTGCTTAGTTGCTCTGATTAATTTGAGTAAGTTTGTGTTTGACTCTTTGCCTTTTCTTTGTTGAGAACTAGTCTATGTTAAATTCTCATAGTAGTAATCTCAGTACATAGTATGTTAATGCATGAGCTAAGCCAGGGATGATCTTGGAGTTGAGGCTGGGTAGGGAGTGAAATGCAGTTTTGAAACATATCAAAATACCAAAGCAGAAAAATTTGGACATGGAAGTAGGGATGATCAAAACAGAATAGAAATTAGGAACTAAGTAAAGGTAAGACAGCCACTGACACTAAGAGCTCAGAAAAATGAATAGAAGCTGAAATCAGGCATGAAATCAGAAAGCAGACGAAACCCAAGCCACAGGGCTAGACAGGACAGATGGTCAAAGGCTGAGCCTGCAACCAGGAGCTGAAGAGACCGGCTTGGCATCGGTTGCAAGGATGTGAGGCAGGAGCAACACAAAAGATCTTGATATGAAGCAATTATTTTTGGCCTTAAACTGCTGGGACTCCAGATGACCCAGACCATGGTTGGCAGTCAAAGCCGGGTAAATTTATACAATTCCCACCCTGTTAATTCAGTTATTGAAGCTACTTATCTTCTGAAAACGTTTTAAGTCTGAAAGAATTTTCTATTAAAATGAAAAAAAAATTGAAGGTATTTGGCCTTCAAGATTTGGGTAACTACAAAGAAGGAAGATGATATTTAAGAGTAAGGATGTGGAGCTGTAATAAAAGAAGAAAGGGTTTCAGGGTGTGTATTGAAACGTAAGCAATGGCAAATCCTCCCTACTTCAACTTTTGTCTTTTAGTAGTCTCAAATTGCTTCTATTCTTCCCAGATCAAAGTTATCTCTCTCATTCTTGAAAACCCCTGGATTATTTACCTTATAAATAAATAAAAAGACATTAAATTTTGAGACATTAAATGTTAATGTCTTTCCTATTTATTTATAAGGTAAAATATCACACATACCATCCACAGATTCTTCCATGAAGGAAATGCTAGTGTCACTCCATACATTTACTATTTCAAGTTTGACAATATGATTTTCCATCTTCATCAACTATGTCAATTTGATATTCACATACAAGCAATATTATTTAAAATGGTGGATCCTTACATGAGGGAAATAAAATGTTTGCTTCATGATAAAGTTTTCTGCAGTTTCTGAAACTCAATGGTGTCATGATGAGTCTTCATCAGGCCAAAAAAAAAAGCAATGTTTGACTTACCGATTTAGTCAATATGCCAGTAGCTGTTAAGGAGTTGATGTTCTTTTTTTCCCTCCCCCAGTGAATAAGTGAGTTGTAAGAATTGGGGTGGCTCAAGCCTGTAATCCCAGCACTTTGGGAGGCCGAGGCGGGTGGATCACAAGGTCAAGAGATCAAGACCATCCTGGTCAACATGGTGAAACCCCGTCTCTACTAAAAATACAAAAAATTAGCTGGGCATGGTGGCACGTGCCTGTAATCCCAGCTACTCAGGAGGCTGAGGCAGGAGAATTGCCTGAACCCAGGAGGCGGAGGTTGCGGTGAGCCGAGATAGCGCCATTGCACTCCAGCCTGGGTAACAAGAGTGAAACTCCATCTCAAAAAAAAAAAAAAAAAAGAATTGAGATTCTAAAGAACATAACCACCTCTAGGAATAATGAAGATCAAGGAACTGACGTAGAAATTCTAAGAAGAGGAAAGAAAGTTGCATGGATCATATGAGCTTTTCTCCCTTGACTTATGCATTCACAAAAATTATTATTAAGTTTCTCTTACATCCATTACATGCAGAAGCTGTGCAAAGTTGCATTCTGAATGTACGACAAGAGACATATGTCGGGGCAGAACTAAGATAATTATGATGGCAATTTCCAATTTTAATTTAATGAGCATATTTATACTTCTAATGGAATTCGCTTATTAACTGAACATCGTTTTAGGGTTGATAAAAGCATGGAAGTGTTTATAATAGTCTGAAATGATTACAAATGGAATGAAGAAAAACAAAAAGAATTTTAAAAACCTATGTTACATCCAGTAAACATGACTTTGAGGTGAATATTTTACATTTTTAACAGCTTTATGAAGCTATAAATCACGTGCCATACAATTTCAAATTTAAAGTATACAATTCAATGGTTTTCAGTAATTCTACTTCTATTAATTTTTAACTTTTAAAAGAATGGTAATCTATACATCACAAAAAATTGCTATTTTAACCATTTCAAGTATACGATTCAATGTCATTAATTCCATTCACAGTGTTGTGCTACCATCACTACTATTTCTAAAATGTTTTTATCAATCTGAACTGAAACTCCAAGACCAGTAAGCATTAACATCCCATTCTCCTCCAACCAATCCCAGGTAAACTCTGGTCTACTTTCTGTCTTTATGAGGCTCTAGGTCCCTCGCCTAAGTGGAATCATACAGTATTTGTCCTTTTGTGTTTGGCTTATTTCACTTAGTATAATTTTTTCAAGATTCACCCATATTGTAGCATGTATCAGAATTTTAATCATTTTTATTGCTGAGTAATATTCCATTGTATGTATATGTCACATTTTGTTTATTCATTCACCTGTTGATGGAAATTTGGGCAGTTTCCATTTTTTGGTTATTGCAAATAGTGCTATAGTGAACAGTGCTGTATGAATATCTGTTTAAGTCTCTATTTTGATTCTTCTAGGTGTGTAACTAGGTGGTGAATTGATGGAACACACAGTAATTCTTTTTAACTTTTGAGGAACTGCCAAACTGTTTTTGATAGTATTGCACCATTTTACATTCCCACCAACAATGTGTGAGGGTTTCTATTTCTCCTCATCCTCATCAACACTTGTTATTATCAGTTTTATTATTATTATTGTTAATACTATCTCAGTAGATGTGAATTGGTATCTAATTGTGATCCTGATTTTCATTTCCCTAATGACTAGTGATACTGAAAATCTTTTTTTATGTGCTTATTGACTGTATATAATCTTCTTTGAAGAAATGTCTATTCAAGCCCTTTGTCCATTTTGAAATTGGGTTGTCTTTTTCTTCTTAAGTTTTATGAATTTTTATATATTCTAGATATTGAACTTTTATCAGAAAATTTTGAATATTTTCTACCATTTTGTAGCTTGTCTTTTCACTTTCTTGATAATGTCTTTTGATGCACAAAAGGTTTTGATTTTGATGAAGTCCCATTTACTTATTTATTTTTTGTTGTTGTTGCTTGTGCTTTTAGTGTCATATTTAAGAATCAATTTCCAAATCCAAGGTCATGAAGATTTATCACTGTTTTCTTCTAAATGCATTATGGCTTTAGCTTTTACATGTAGCCTTTTGATCCATTTTGAGTTAATTTCTGTATATGGTGTGAAGTAGGGGTCCATCTGCACTCTTCTGTATGTCAAAATCGAGTTGTCCCAATATCATCTATTGAAGAGACTATGTGTTCCCCCATTGAATGGACTTGGCATCTTTGTCAAACATCAGTTCATGTATGGGCTTATATTTGAACTCAATTCAGTTGTCTAGTCTCATGC